GTCAGTAACAGGTGATTGCACCAAAATGGCCAAGCAGAATATAAAATGCCACGCATATCTGATGAGGACTGTGTAAAAATGCATGGGCAAGGAGAGCAACTAGGAAAGTGGTTTTTGTTGTTGTTGTCTTTGTTTTTGTTTTGTTTTTATGTCAGAAGCAGCGGAGAGGCCAGGAGCATTTAAAACAGGAACGTGTCCTTTGGATTTGGCAGGAGCTTCATGCCACCTGAAGGAGCAGGAAGGAATTGGCTAAAATGAATGAATCCAGTCCTGCTCTTCCATTTATCCTTCACCCAGTCACCAGACTGACCCTCTGAAAACAAAGACCTAATTTTGCCTGTTGCTGTTGAAGGAAGTGTATTTTCCTTTGCACATGGGCTTATTTTCTGGTTGGTGAATGTCGGCTTCTCCTCCTCTGACCAGATTGGACGCTCCTGGGGGCAGGACCGGTTTCACTCTGCCTCAGGACAGCATCTCTACGGTGGCTTTTTCATCTTGCCCCACATTGTCTACTCCCTGCCCTGCCTGCTGTCTCAGGGTGCGGAGGCTGGACTCGGGGAGGAAGGCCAGGCCGTGGACACGTTTTGTGAAGAGGTGGTGCAGGCCTGCGGTGCATCGGTAGTGAGGGAGTAGAGCTTCTGATGAGATCTAGGGCACACGTGCTTCATCGCCCGTGGAGGGTGAGGTTGAGGAAAGGATAAGGGATCTGAGTCTCTGAGATGAGTGATGGGACTGTGCTCCCCGAGGGTGTAGAGGAGGACCAGCGATGCACAGGAGGCTGTGAGGAATCCAACCCGAGGTGTACTTGGGGCACTAAGAGGGAGTGGTGAGATGATCTGGGGTGTAGGGGCAGGTTCTGGTCAGCAGAAGCAGATTTACTAGTCGCTAACACAGGGCCCTGCTCAGGGGCCTCAGGCTGCTGGGAGCAGGATGGGGAGAGTGCCTGGGGGTCAGGGCATTGCCTGTCTTCACTGTTGTCATAGCGGGGCTCACCCCGTTCACCAGTGTGTAGGTTGTGGTCTGCCAGAGGAGCCTGTCTGGGTCCTGGGAGAGGAGTAGATTGAGTGGGTTGAGAGCATGGGAGAGGGGCACCTGGGAAGACACTTGGGCATTTTCCTTAAATTGTCAGCTGAGTCCAAGACAACTGGCAGAGCTGAGGCTCAGATACACATTTCCCCAAGATAGCAGAAAGTGTAATCAGCTTGGCCTTTATTCAAGCCCAGGTGTTGGCAAGGGCGGGTCTAGATATGTAAATTCAGGCAAGCTAGGGCCTACTTAAGAATGCACATTAGCTCCTTTGATCCTAAATTTTGGTGTTACTTCTTGGTATTGGGTATAAAATAAATGCGCTGGGAGGGTCATCTCGTCATCTTCCTATCTCTCCAGCAGACAAAATGGCGGCCCACCCAGCTCCCAGCTTTAAATCTATGTGTCTTCTCTCTTTATTTCCATTATTTCTCAATCCCTGGCCGCCTCCACTTAGAACCGGTTCGTTCATCTCTCTTTCCGTGTGGGACGTGGAAAAGGGAGGCCCCCGCCACATCAGGCCCCCGCAGAGAATGGGACAGTTGGTGGAAGTCTTACTTTATATGGAATTGTGGGAACATGTTCCTCAGCAATAATCATCTTTTCATTTTGCTCTCTCTTCACTCTACCCACTTACTCTCTGCCCTGCCCATCAGTCTTGCACAGTGCCATTATTTTCTGTAAGACACTACCAGTTAACTCACAACCCCTTTTGGTCCCATTGTGTCCTTCCTTGCTTGGCATTTGATATTTTATATGATCATCTTGTGTCAGCTTTTATATACATCTGTGGCAGAATGGATGATTCTGTGTTCCTCACACACATCTATCTCAGCTTTTCTGCGTCCACAGTTTGGCTCACATCAGTTAGTTTGGTTAGAATACTGATTTTACCTCTATCAGTAACATTTCATTTAGCAAAATATAGCATGCAGACCAAGTTTGGCCCACTGCTGTTCTTTGTAAATAAAGTTTTATTGGGAACCTGCCACATTCATTTGTTTATGCATTGTTTGTGGCTTTTTTTTTTTGCACCAGAATAGTGGGCTGAATAGTTGCTGCAGAAACCCCATAGCCTGCAAAGCCTAAAGCATTCACTCTGGCTCTTGAAGGAAAAAGTGTGCTTTTATTCATGATGTCAGCAGCTTTGCATGTACTTTCTGTAAGTCAAGATTATGGAATACCTTATCCTTTTCCAGGAACAGGTACAGAGGGCTAGAAAGAAATGGAAATCATAAGTGTTAATATTAAATTTCAGTCATTTGTAGATCACCACCTATTTTTAAACATGATCTTAGGTAAAGCAGTCTGAAACTAAGCCATAAGAAATTATAAGTGAGAAGGCAAATATTTTATACTGATTATGGTGTGACAATAGGGAAATCATTGCTTTTTAGAAAATGGCAATTACAATGTGAGACATAATGAAAATTGTTGTATTAGTGGCCCCAGGTTCATAATGGCCCATTATTCTTTTATTTTTGATGGGAAATTGATGAAAGAAAATTTAATAGTGATGCACACTGGGCTATGTTCGTTGGGACAGTGTCCTGGGAGTGTAGCTCCCAATGGATCAGATACTCTGATTACAGGGTTCATTCACGGAGTTCTTTAGTGGAGAGACCAAAAGGTAAGGGTGAAAATACAGCTTGGAACTACACACGGTTACAGCCATTTGTATAATTCATTGATATATAGTGATAAGGAATTGAAAAGACCAGAAACTTAAGAAAGACCTGATTCTGTTGGCAAGAAAAAAATGGGCAGACAGATCAAATGTGGTCATGGGATTTCTGAGTGCAACTGATAGTAAGGAAAGAATTATACCTGGAAGACATTTTGGCAGCAAAATCCTTTATATGTTTCTAATGTGAACTTTTAATAAATCGTCTATCTTAACTTTATCTGTTAAATGTCCGGTGTGGAGCTAGATTAATTCTTTTTGGAAAGAAAGCCTAGGTAGATAAATTATTAGAATCTGTGAAATATGTGTATGTGAGACAGAATTTATTTTTTTATGTTTCCTTTTGCATATCCTGTCATATAAAAAACCGTGGTAAAGGGCGATTTTACAAAGTCAGATTTGACCTGATTGAAGTTTAGGAATGTAGTCATCATACACCTGAGATGCATTAACCAAGGGTCATGTTCAAAGATAGACTCCTGTTGGTGATTAAAGAGGACACAGTTGCCTATCCCGCACTGAGCTCACTCCCTCACCTCGGAAACACTCCCTGGGAATAGAGTTCATGCTTCATATTGGGTGGCTCACAGTTTTGATTTGTTCTGTTACAGATGAGGTTCACCATTTTTAAAGTTAGTTTTTATCACTTAAGATTGTGTTTGCCAGTTTTTTTCTGCTGTAAAATTAGCAAATTGTTTTATACTTATAAGTATTTTGGCGGAGAGATTTTTAGACCATAAATATTCTGTTGTCATCAGACTTTTATCTGCTAGTTTTAGCACAATACAAAAACTGTCAGATGGTGAATTTCTAATCCCTTCATTTCTTTTACATTTATTAGTTGACTTCCTACCATGAGGTAGAATTTTCATTTCTTCCCATTGGTTATTCGTTTATTTTATTCTTAGGGATTCACAGATTCTTGTTTTACTCTGTTGGGTATGATCCATTACTATTATTTACTTGGATGTTTAACTTGTTCTGGGTTCGCCAGACTGGCTACTTTATCCTTTTGACATGCCTCTGTCATTCTTTGTGTACTTTCTTCATAACACAAAGGATGTTTCAGCTCATGTTGAGCAGCAGGTCTTGGAATAACTTCATTGTCTATATAAAAGGAACTTCAAAGCATAATGCTGTAAATCTTAGAATATCAGAGATTGTGCCAAAAAAAACCCTAGTTAAATAGGGGCCACAGTTTCCCTCCTGGGATTTTGTCATGGGATAGAAATGGGTTAGAATGGAGAACAGATTGGAGAGGACGTTGACGTTGTACTGCTTGGCTTAACGTTATCAGGGTAGGGTAGGACATGCGTCCTGAATCCCGAAACAATGGTGGTGGCCATCTTCCCATCTCCCATGATGTATGCTGGACCAACCGAGGTAGAATGCTTTTCAGATTTTCATGCAGCAGTGTGGAGACCACTCTCATGAACACAGCTAGAGTCAGGCTTGGATGAACATGGCGCTGTGCCAGGGGTTGTGAAGGCAGAAGACCTCCTCTCCTCTGTCAGGTTGTTACTCCTGTGAGATTGCTCTGTGACCCCAAAGAACCATGTTTTCTCAGAAAGGTCTCCTAATAGGGAGCCCCATGTAGGGATAAAGCCAGGATTGTAAGCCTGAGATACAGAGTTAATCAGTCTAATGTATCTAGCAGTTCCTATTGTTTGGGTAATAGCAATGGCCCTTGTAGGGATATTGGTGTTCCTTAGCTATAATCCAAAATCCCAACCTGGCATCACAAAGCCAGATAGGGTTCCAGTCAAGCAAGTAATCACATACTTGGATAGCAAACAAATTTTTTGACTTATAAATGTCTCCACCTTACTGTATTCTTTTAATAAAGAAGTGTCTTAGGTCTTATGGAGCAGCGTTTGCCAACCGGTGGTCTGAGGGCCACTGGTGGTCCATGAGGTCCGAAAGGTTGGCAATTGCTGCTATGGAGGGATTGGCCTAGTGGGTCATTAAGGCAAAGACCAAGAATTTATATCCACGTAAGCCGCTGAACCAGGATGTCAGGGCCTGAGAGTATGATTGTTCTCAAGTTTCCCATGAATGCAGAAAGTGATTGTTATAAACCCACCAATGTTATGACACATCCTCAAACATGTGAGATTAGTAGAAGTGCAGGTCATGTTGGCGTGGTCAGAGCAGTACATGTTTTCACCCGTTTTAATTCCGAGAATGCATGCTTGCTTAATCCTAAGCATCAGGCTTCAAGAATTGTTTATCTTTTGCAAGGTCATCTGTTAGAAACATGCTCCTCTAACTCTGAAAATTCTCTTTTCAGATGCTGTCTTTGCATTTCAATTACGCAACCCAGTGCACAACGGACATGCTCTACTAATGCAGGACACCCATAAACAGCTTCTAGAGAGGGGCTACCGGCGCCCTGTTCTCCTCCTGCACCCTCTGGGTGGCTGGACCAAGGATGACGACGTTCCTTTGATGTGGCGAATGAAGCAGCATGCTGCCGTGCTGGAGGAAGGCGTCCTGAATCCCGAAACAACGGTGGTGGCCATCTTCCCGTCTCCCATGATGTATGCTGGACCAACTGAGGTAGACTGCTTTTCAGATTTTCATGCAGCAGTGTGGAGACCACTCTCATGAACACAGCTAGAGTCAGCCACAGACCCGTCTGATCTGTGTGTCCATTGCAAACACTGAGTGTGCCCGGAGGGCTCTCCTGCTCTGTCAGAGATGTGCTCTAAAGGGGGAGAAGGTGGGCAGGGAGGAGCATGCTCCTCTCGCTCTTGTTGCAGTCCGTGGTCCCAGTGGTGGAACAAGTGAGTTTGGAAAGATGTGACACAGAATGTAACTGCTGACCACGGCACAGATAGCACCTGTCTCATCCCTCTGACTAAGTCCTGAGTCCCTCTTCCCAGGAAACAGATTGGCTCTGATTTTTTTCTTCTTCTGAATTTGGGAAGGGCCAACAGCATTTGAATAGGAAGAATGTCTGAAAACCAGACAGGGAACATTCTTCGTCTGTTCTTTTGTGAAGGATTGGAGCATAATAGAGTGAGGGTGTAAAATTGCTTCTTGATTTGAGTGGGAGAGGGTTCTAGCATTCTCCTAAGGGGTGAAAAGGGATAATTTGAGATATTTTTATATCTCTGTATAGGGAGAACTTAAATAGATTTTTGCTGGAAGGTAGAGTAGGCGTTCAAAAAATTTTTGTTGAATGAATGAAAGACCTAAAAAACAGTGGGAAATTCCTAGCCAGCTTCTTGTTGGGTGTTCAAGCTAAAGAGTAAAAGGCATGTTCTTAGGTATTCTTTTTCAACTCTTAGTCACATTTATCTGGGAGACAAACCCTTTTAGAAAGGGTCAAATAATTTAGTTATACATACTCCTCTGTGATGTTTTCTTCTTAAAAAAAAAAAAAAAGAAAAAGAAAAAGAAAAAGAAAGAAAGAAAAGCTTCAAAGGAAACCCAAGCATGTTTAGCTATTTTTGGGATCAAGCCCAAAAATTTTGATTGGAGCTTAGTTATGGGGTTGTATGCTCTGTTACCTCTTTCCAAGAAAAACAGGCAAACAAAAATCAACAGTCACCACATGCTGAAAGATTAACTCTTCTCTTGGATCCAGCCAAAGTAATGCAGGTAAAACTCATATTCTCCCCTCTTTGTTGTTACAAATGCTCATGAATATTGGGTAGGGATAGACCTTTGAGTTTCCTAGAGATCATTCACAACTTTTAGTTTTTACATCTCAGAGAAAAACTAAAATTGTTTTGGAAGTAACAATTCTGTTGCAATAGTAACCCAATCTCTTCTTTGGTCCTATCTCCATCATCACCATCATCATTGTCATCTAAAGGGAATCATTTGGTCTGAAGTTTTCCAAAATTATAGGATGAATGGTTTTCAATGAGGAAATGACCCAAATGAGTTTAGCATCAGAAATGGGTAATGATAAAAACCTCATTAAGAGCCAGATAGGAAAGTAAAGGAATTTATATTCCCTATTCAGGGCATGTTTTTCCTCTTTGTGTTTCTTATTCTCTAAAAGGAGAAGAGATAGGACATTTCATTAACTAAATGAACAACTGCTTTTTAGAAGGTGGGAGTGAGGGGATAGGAAAATAATAAATGCAGCCAGCTGTAATGAATCCTTTCTTGAGAGTCAAGCATGCTGTTTTATCTACATTAGGAAGATTTTCATGTCTTCTGATTTCAGAGCAGGGTATGTGTCTACAGGAAGACTCAAAGGTTAAGATACCTAACGTACCTTTGGGTGCTTGCATTTTGGCTCACCTGGTAATCTTCCTCCTTGCGAGGCAAAACTGCCTGGCTGGCAGGCTGGTTGCAGGCGGCCTCAGATTCAACTCCCAGTGTTGCCCGTGAGAACATGGTTTGGGAAAAGGAGGAGAAGCCTGTTGTCCAGGAGGCCAGGCACGGCTGTGGACCTGGTTTGCCACCAGCTGGTTTTTGATCTTGGGTTAGCCATCTCTGGGCTGTGCTAAGTTCCCAGTAAATGGTTATTTAAGGGATGCACAAGGGGCTGAATGTTCTTTAAGGTTCTATCCCGTTCTGATCATTTTCTAGTTTTTCTTTTATTTTCTTTTTATTTCATATTAAAGTAAAATTATAGTACAATGAATTTATCCCATTTGGTCACATTCATACAACCAGCACCCATAGTTTTTAAAAAGACTGCTACAACACTCCAGAAGTTCTTCCTTCCTCCTCCTCTACATTACCTGCCCTTCCCCTCTGTCATCACTGCCCTCACCTCTCACATCGTGGATCCAGTTTGCTTGGTTGTAATTTGGATACTCTGGGAAACAGACTCTGAGAGCGAGATTAGGGTTGAGGACATTTATTAGGGAGAGTACTTTGGGTCAGTGATTATGGAAGGGAAGGGAAAGAAAGAGAGCAGTGTTGGGCAGTGGAAAAGCTGATTTGTGATTCAGTCTTAGTGGAAGCCTAGTTGATCCCCTGTGGAGTTCTGGAAAGGCCCTCAGAAATCTTCCAAGTTGCATAAGAAATTGTTGGTTATAGCCCTTTGTTTACCAATGATTGGCTGCTCGGGAAGGGGCGGACCTTGGGGCTGCTGCTCTTTGAGAGGCAGTTTCTAAAGCAGGTGACAGCTGCCTGGTGTGTGCTGGCAGAGCTCTGATCAGCTAGGGATAAGCTTTCCTTCCCCAGGAGGGCATGGGCGGTGCATCCCAGCATTCAGTCCTGCCTGTTCTAACACCTTTTATAGCTAGAATTCTATACTCTCTCGTGTCTGGCTTCTTTCACTTTACATTTTGTTTGTGAAACTTGCCCTTATTGTTGTATGTAGTTAGTTGGAGGTCAGTCATTCTCAGAACTGTGGAGTGTTCCCTGTGATAGGCTTTTGGTCAGTTTCCAGTTTTTTGCTGTTAAGAGTAGTGCTGGTGTGGAAGTGTTAATGCACATTGCTGTTGGTTCACCTGGAATAGCATTGCTGGGTCATGGGTTTATATTTGTTCAGCTTCAGTGCATGCTGTCAGTCAGTTTTCCTCTGGGTGGTAGTATTTTACACTTCCATCTGCAGTGTATTTCATTACCTGTATTTTTTATTTTATTTTAGCAACTTCTGTCCTTTAGCCTAGACTATTTGGCCAAGTACTTTGTAATACTTTTAGTATTTCTAAAGCAATTGCAAAAATGTTTTCATTGAACCTGAAGAGGAAATGGAGCATGGTAAATGAGTTGTCCAATACAGTGATTGAGAAATAAGAGGATAATAAGCTCACTTTTATTGTACTCTTACTGTATTTGTCAGGCATATTTCAGGTTCTTTACATGTATTAGCTAACTTAATCCTTAAAACAACACTGAGGGGAGGTCCTATTACTGCTCTCAATTTAAAGGTGAGGAAACGGTGCTCGCTTCGGCAGCACATATACTAAAGGTGAGGAAACGGAGACTCAAAAAGTAGTTCAAGGTCACATAGGAGTCTATAGACTGTATGGCCGCAGGGCCATGCATTTAACTTCCACAGCATGTTTTTATTACTAGAGGCCCAGTGCATGAAATTCGTGCACTCTGGGTGGGTGGGGGAGAAGGTCCCTCAGCCTGGCCTGCACCCTTTCACAGTTTGGGAGCACTTGGGGGATGTCTGACTGATGGGTTAGGCCCGCTCCTTGCAGTTGAACATCCTTAGTGCTGCCACGGGGGTGGGAGAGGCTCCTGCCACCGCCTCTATGCTCGCCAGTCATGAGCTGAGCGATGCTCCTCCTATGGGAGTGCATTGATCACCAGGGGGCAGCTCCTGCCTTGAGTGTCTGCATCGTAGTGACCGGTTGTTCTGCCATTTGGTTGATTTGCATATTAGCCTTTTATTATTTAGGATATAATAGTACTGTGTGAGAAAATATGTAGTCATAAAAAAAATTATGTGGTCATATATTATTTGAAAACAGTCTGGAAATAGATTCTTAAAAACCTTCTATAGATGTTCCAAAATAGTGACTTAGTTGACAAAATAGTGGCCCTACTGACATTCATTAGAGGGGGAATCTCTGGTATAGTGGCTCTCACTTATTTTTTGATTATCATAGCCTAGAGCTGTGGGTTATGATATTCTTTATACAGTCTGTACAGGCATACCTCAGAGATAATTGCGAGACCACTGCAATTTAATATCACAATAAAGAGTCACATGAATATTTTTGTTTTCTACTATGCAGAAAAGTTATGTTTGCACTATAGTGTAGTTTATTAAATGTACAATAGCATTATGTCTAAAAAAAACCCCTTGGTGTACATAACTAAATTAAAAAGTACTTTATTGCTAAAAATGTTAACCATTGTCTGATCTTGTTGGAAAATGGCACTGATAGACTTGCTCAACATAGGGTTGCCGTAGACCTTCAATTCGTGAAAACACACACACACACACAACCCATAATATCTGTGAAGTATAGTAAAGAAAAGTGCAGTAAAACTAGTTGTGTCTGTATTCTTGCTTTTTGTACTCTTATGATATCTACCTCAGTTAGATTTTACTAATATCTAACTGTTTTTGTGTTGTGAGGAATGAATGGGATAATGTACATCAGTTAGCACATTGTGTAGCTTGTGATAGTACATGGTGATTAGCATCAGCTGCCTTAAAAACACCCACAAAATACTTTTGCTGCAAGTTCTTAATATTCCTAGGATTCTGTCCCCACATCAAGGGGGCTGCCTACACCTCAAAGCTGCCTCTCAGTGTGAAGTCCTAGAATTTTGGTTTGGACAGAGAGCCTGGAATGACCTTCTCCCTAACAAACTTCATATCAGAGGATATATCCTATGATTTGAAATGCTCTTTGGTGTTTGATAGTACATAAAAATATGAAAATTAATAATAAATAAAGGAAAATAAAATGAACTCCTTTTGAGTGCCTGTTAATGTGTCACTCATTGAACAGATCCTTTGCATCCATTGTATAACCTTCTCCCCACAGCAGCTCCATGAGATGGGTTTTATTCCCATTGAATGATGAGGTCAGTGCAGCTCTGAGCAGGTTAGTGGTTATAATGGTCAAAGTAGATTTAAAAAAAAATTATATATATATATATATATATATATATATATA